GAGCTGAGTGGGGAGAGCGTAAGACTCCTCCCTGCTCCTGCCTAGGCTCATTCTGTCTGACAATGGGAACTTTAAAGGAAACTACCCATCCTCTCTGACATGGAGCAGAAAACTCTCCGCAACGTTTGTCTGCAGGGTTTAGGGTGGGAAGGCAGCTGCACCAGGGCCCATGTTTACTGTACCAAACCCCGGGAGGCAGGAAGCTCAGCCTATGGGCACCTTCAGTCATCTTCCCCCCACAAAAGCAGCTGTCTCATGTCCCATCACTTGCCGTCACCCTGTCAGGACTCACGCCATCTTAGCTCCAGGCTGGAGCCCTCCTTCAATCCACCCAAGAGCTGGGACACCCCTCCTCCTCCTCCTCCCACCCTTACTCAACTCCTATAGTGCTATCCTCTCACGTCCACAGTCAGCCACCCCACCGGGTGGTGGAAGGGACCACAGTGGGAGCAGCCCTATTCCTATAAATTACATGGTCCGCTATGGGACTTAATTGTGTCCCCCAAAATTCATATGTTAAAGCCCTAGCCCCCAATCTCCAATGGGATGGTACTTGGAGCTAAAGACTTTGGTAATTATGTTTTGGTGAAGTCATGAGGGTGGAGCCCTCAAAATGGGATTAGTCTGTCTATCTGTCTCTCTTTTTCTCTCTCCTCTTTTTTCTCTCTGTGAGGATACCGCAGGAAGGTAGTCATCTGGAAGCCAGAAAGAGTCCTCACCAGAACTCAGTTATGCTGACATCCTGATCTCAGACTTCCAGCCTCCAGAACTGTGAGAAATAAAAGTCTGTTATTGAAACCACCTGGTCTATGGGGTTTTGTCATAGAGACTCAAGCAGACTAAGACATGGTCTGAGTCTCGGTTTGAAATATTGGAAGTCAGTCCAAAGAAAATCTTGGAAATAGCTCACCTTTTACCCATACCTCTTCCCAGATGGGGCGGTGCTGAGCCTTACTGATGGGCCAGGCAGGAGGAGGCTGGGGCAGAGAAAAGGTGACAAGGAGGACAGGAGTTCTTCGGTCTTCAAATGAATGAGCCCAACACCGTAAGGAGGCCAATAAGTCATGCCAGTTCCTGAGGAGGGTTCACCAAGTAGGAGACCTGGTGAACTATTCCCTGAGGAGACAAGGTGGCTGAGCTGGAGCAGCCATCATGGGCCATGAATAGAGGTCACACATCAATGTCACAAGATAGAAGGAGCTTAGGTCCTGAGGACTTCGTGCAGAGTGGCTGCCATACCAGCCCTAGACTGCCAACCTCCGGACTTCGGTGAGAGGGGAAGACGCACTTTCGCGTCTTAGAAGCCGCTGTCTTTCGGTCTCCATAACCCACAGCCAAATATCAATATACTCGTAACCGATACTGCCTTCAATAAATGTTGGCTGTTATCTGCCACATGATACAATTATTTAATGTCTGTCTTCCCACTAGATTGTAAGCTCCATGAAGGCAGGGACCATGTCTGTCTGGTTCAGTGTATTCTCAAGGCCCAAGCCAGTGCTATACACACAGCAGGCACTCAATCAGTGTCTGTCCAACGAGTCAGTGACCCCCTGCTCGTGCCCTTTTCCTACCTGAGCCTGAGCTGCAGACTTGGGGCATCTTCTCCTTTAAGGTCTCACTTAAAGCCCACCAAGGAAAATCATCCCTGTCATACCTCACTTCCTTCTGCTTCGTGCAGGTCCCTTGGAACTTACCCTGTGTTACGTAGATGAAGTTGTCCTGCTGTTGTTGCGATGATCATTCTCTACTTAGTGCCCTGATGCTTATGTCCTTGCTTGACTGGATGGTAAGCTGCTTTGGCAGGGAAAACACTTTCAGTTTTTAATCATTGGGAGCTTAACCCCAATTCCTCCTAAATGTATACAGTGGGGGCTTCCCTGGTGGTGCAGTGGTTGAGAGTTCGCCTGCCGATGCAGGGGACATGGGTTCGTGCCCCGGTCCGGGAAGATCCCACATTCCGCGGAGCGGCTGGGCCCGTGAGCCATGGCCGCTGAGCCTGCGCGTCCGGAGCCTGTGCTCCGCAACGGGAGAGGCCACAACAGTGAGAGGCCTGCGTACCGCAAAAAGGAGGGAGGAAAACCTGACAGGGCCCCAACACTGAGGAGGAATGCTAGCATTTCAAGTTGGGGAGGGTGACTTTTAAAAAGGAGAAATAATGGGGAGTTCCCTGGTGGCCTAGTGGCTAGGATTCTGGGCTTTCACTACCATGGCCCGGGTTCAATCCCTGGTTGGGAAACAAATCCTGCAAGCCACATGGCACGGCCAAAAAAAGAAAATAAATGAAATAAAAAATAAAAAGGAGAAATAAGTAAGGTCAAAAAGGAGCAGGCAGAATGGTAGGAGGCAAACAAGAGAGAAGACTCCCAAGAGCCTAACTTGAAAAAATTTCAAAGGCAGGTTGGTGTGTGTCAAAAGATGGAAAAATGTGGGATTCCGGGGACCTGGGCTCATCAGCCATTAGCTGTGACCTTGGGTAAGTCAATTCTCCTCTAACGATCCATTTCCTTACTTTTACAGTTAGCAGGTCTGACTCAATCAGTGGTCTTCTGGTTGTGCTCCAAGGAGCCCAGGTAGAGGCTCCCAGACGCTGGCATCTGGGCCTCACCTCCTCAGCCAGAGAAGCTCTGCTCCCTTCAGATTCATGCATTGGCTTCTGCACAGAATTTAGTTTGAGCAAAAGGCTACGGAGCTAAAACCAAGTCTGAAAACCACTGGTGTCAACAACCCCGCTCACAACTACATAAAGATCTCAGGTTTTATGGTTCAACAGTTCTCTCCCGAAGCTGGAGCCCCTCCTCAAGGAGACCACTGGCCTTGGTCTCATCTTCCCAGCCAGACTTTAGATTCTGAGAAGACTGAATTTGGGCTCATGGTTCTCAGCTTCCCATGACAACTTCCTGTTTGGGCTCATGGAATCTCAGCCTTGGCTGGATCATTATCAATAAAAGATATTTCACAAAATTCTGTGGCTGGATGCCCTGACAGGGTAGCAGAAAGGTTGTGAGAAGGAGAATCTAATCCACCTTGGGTAGTTCTCAGGGATTTAAGGGACGCCCATCCAGGGGTGACTGGGCCCCTGAGTTCTGGCATGTGTTCTGCTCACATGCGTGTCTTTATTTTTTTTTATTTTTTTTAAAGGGCTCATGAACATGTAATTTTCTTTTATTTAGTTTTTTTTTTTAAATTTTTGTCTGTGTTGGGTCTTCGTTGTGGTGCGCAGGCTTCTCGTTCAGTGGCTTCTCTTGCTGTGGAGCGCGTGGGCTTTAGGTGCGTGGGCTTCAGTAGTTGTGGCACGCGGGCTCAGTAGCTGTGGGTCACCGGCTCTAGAGCGCAGGCTCAGTAGTTGTGGCGCATGGGCTTAGTTGCTCCATGGCATGTGGGATCGTCCCCGGCCAGGGCTCGAACCCGTGTCCCCTGAATTGGCAAGCAGGTTCTTAACCACTGCTCCACCAGGGAAGTCCCCTCACATGTGTGTTTTTCATTTCATTACATGCTCTTTCTCCTTCTTCCCAGTCTCTGGTTTCTTGTCTTCCTCCTTTTCCCACTTGCCTCCCTGCACTCCCCTGCCCTCCCAGCCTGAGGCCTGTGCTCCCTCTGAAGCCCTGACACTTTCCCAGAGTCCCGGGTACGGAGTCCTAGGTTTGAGCAGGGAGTTGGTGAGATGTCCAGAACGAGCAGGGCTGAATCAGGCACCAGAGGCTTTGCTCTCAGGGGAAGAGACACCTAAAGGGCCCACATCAAGATATAAACACTGGGACTTCCCTGGTGGTCCAGTGGTTAAGATTCCGAGCTTCCAATGCAGGGGCCTTGGGTTCGATCCCTGTTTGGGGAACTAGGACCCCGTGTGCCATGTGGCGTGGCCAAAAAAAAAAAAAAAAAGATACAAGGACCATAAACAAAATGTGGTACCTGCACACATACAGTAGAATACTACTCCTCCTTAAAAAGGAAGGGAATTCTGACACTTGCTACAACACGGATCAACCTTGAAGACATTATCAAAGTGAAATAAGCCAGTTGCAAAAAGACAAATACTGTATGGTTCCACTTATATAAGCTGTCTAGAGTAGTCAAATGCATGCATAGAGACAGGAAGTAGAGTGGTGGTTGCCAGGGACTGGGGAGAGGAGGAAATGGGGATTTATTGTTTAATGGATGTAGAGTTACAGTTTCATAAGATGAAAAAGTTCTGAAGATTGGTTACACAACAATGTAAATATACTTAACACTACAGGACTGTACACTTAAAAATGGTTAAGATGGAAATTTTTATATTATGTGTATTTTACCACAATTTTTTTCTTTTTTAAAAAAAAACTTTTTATTTTATATCGGGGTATAGTTGATTAACAATATTGTGTTAGTTTCAGGTGTACAGCAAAGTGATTCTCTTATACATATACGTGTATCTGTTCTTTTTCAAATTCTTTTCCCATTTAGGTTGTTACATAATATTGAGCAGAGTTCCCTGTGCTATACAGTAGGTCCTTGTTGGTTATCTTTTTTTTTTTGGCTGAGCTGCACGGTATGCAGAATATCCTAGTTCACTAGGGATCGAACCCGCACCCCTTGCAGCGGAAGGGCAGAGTCTTAACCACTGGACCTCCAGGTAAGTCCCTAGTTATCCATTTTAAGTACGGCATTGTGTACATGTCAATCCCAAACTCAACTATCCCTCCCCCCAACCCTTCCCCCTGTTTAACACAATTTTTTAAAAAAGAAGAAGCAGGTGGCTTCTTCCTATTTGTCACCTGGACGGGACATAAGGTGGAGAGTGAGCCTTGGAAGGAAACGAAACTCCTGATTACAGCTCCTCAAACTGCAGGCCCTTCCTGAGCTCTCTGCGCATGGTCTGGCCCTCATGTTTCTAGATCTCTGGGCTCTGGCCCTTGTCCCCCAGCTCCCAGTTACTGCTTATTTCTCTGAGGAATATGCATGAGGCCTCAGGTGACATTATCACACACACTCACAAAAACCCAACTCAACTAGTTAATTCATTTAAAAAAGCAACTCAGAGACTGGTTGGAATCAGGGAACTCGGCACAACCTTGCCGGAGCTGTTTATTTACGGGGAGGGCTATGGGTCCATGAGGTCCTCGGGGCTGCGGTGCAGTGGAGAGTCCAGGACTCCAACTCCAGCTCAGTCACTCTGGGCCTCTCGTTAACTCACCTGGGCTAAGGCCATGGGCCAGGCACCTGAAAGAAAGCACTAGATGTACAGGGCTCTACCTCACTCTCCATACCCCAGCCCCTGATCACAGACCCCACCCCTACCAGGACGGCACCAAGCCTGGGCAGGAGGGCGCAGGGGGTGGTCAGGGAAGGGAGAAAAGAGGAACAGGGTCAAGGGCACCTGGTACCTGGCTCCTCACGCACAGGAGCCTATACAGGAGGCCCCTCCTGAGGGAATGGTCTTGCCTTGAGAGACCCCAGAAGAGGCAGGAGGATGTGACTGATGAAGGTCAAGGTCAGGTGCAAAGACCAGGGAGGGCAGGGGGCAGAGCAGGAGGTGACAGGAGCCCTGAGAGGGCAGGGGACTGATGGGCGGGTCCAGGCTGTTCTCCGCCCCCTGCAGTGCCCTGTGGGGCCCCAGAGGGACCCCGAAGGAGAGGCTGCACTCACCCTGGAGGGGTCTGCTTCACCCAGACATGATGTGCTTGACAAAGGCTGGGAAAGAAGATGGAAATCAGCCACTGCACTTGGCCCCTCTCAGCCCCTTAAACCTCTTCTCCCTGCTCTATACCGCCTGACCTCAAACCTTCCCAATACCCTTTCTTCAGAGCATGATTCTTTCCCCTATTTAGGGTTGATGGGGAGAAGGTGGAAGGAAGGAAGAGACATAACCACTGCTCTGTGTCCATTCTCTGTGCTGGTACTTGACACAGATGAAATGAGCTACATTATCTCTGCCAATCCCCGCAACCTTGGGACAGGGGCCAGCATCACCCCATTGCTCAGATGAGAAAACCAAGGCTCAGAGAAGGTAAGTGACTTGCTCAAGGTCACACAGCTGGTATATCACAGAGCTATCTCCGAAATCCATGCCCCTTCCATTACACCGTGATGTTCACTCCCAGGAAAGGAAAAGAACAATGTCCACTGGGAGCTCACCGAAGCCCACGGGGTGCACATGCTCCCTAGCCCCTGCATCTGTTCTGTTCTGCAGCCCAGCCCAAACTGTACCCAACCCCCCATCCCTGCGTGACCGGGGAAGCGCAGCATGAGCCGATACCTTCGTAATTGATGCAGCCATTGGCATCCTCCTGCCCTGCTAACAGCTGCTCCACTTCAGCCTCAGTCATCTTCTCTCCTGGGGCGGGAGACAGTGGGCACTTAATTACAGGTGGGCAAAGGAGGCACAGGCCAAACCCAAGCACCCCCTTGAGTCTGATGGCTCAAGACTTCCTGGGTGTAGGAAGAGGCCATACCAAAGCTCCCCCAGAGGCTTTGGAGGGTGGAGCCAAGGGTCTTAAGGCCCTTCCTAGTTCCCAAGGTCTCTCCCTCTGGCTACAGCCACCAGTGGGTGAGCAGACCAGGGCCCCAGTGACTGAGGCAAAGGACAGGAGCCCTGGGTCCCACCTCTCAGGCTTCACCCCCGCCCGGCCAACCTGCTCTCCTCTCCTTCCCACCCTGCTGAGCAAACCCAGCTGGGGAAGCAAGACAGGCCTGGATCAGGATGTGATCCTCAGGACGCAGGGACCCCCATGTCTCCCCAACATATGCCACTCGGTCACTTCCCACGCCTCTGTTCCCCCTGCCCTTGGGCTCCACCTCTGCCCTGCTGGCATACCCAGGGTGGCGAGGACGTGGCGAAGCTCGGCGCCCATGACCGTGCCGTTGCTCTCCTTATCAAACACGCGCAGCCCCTCCACGAAGTCCTCGTAGGTGCCCTGCTCCTTGTTGCGGGAGATATGCTGCAGGATGGGCAGGAACGTCTCAAAGTCCAGCATCTTGGTGTTCATCTCTTGCGGCGGGGACAGGGAAGGAAAGGGAATTCGACGTGAGCTCGAGGGAGCAGAGGGTCAGGAGGGGTCTCACCTGGCTCTGCCAGGCTAGCCTGTCCCTGGCAGCACCCAGAGCTCAGCCGCCGCCACTTCTGGGTGGGGCACCCCGTCAGCAATCCTGGAGGGCTCAGAGGCCCGGGAGCCAGGCAGGAGCTGGCTCTGGGCACTCTTCTCAGTGAAAGGACTAGGGCAGGAGGGAAGAGGGACCGTGACTCCACCCAGACCTCTGAGCTCCAGGTGGCCAGCGGGGCAGGGAGCTGAGGTGGCAGCAGTAGGATTTGAGGGGCCCCAAGGGCCACACAGCGCAGGCCTCACATTCACAACTTAGACTTCTGACACGTGACAGACTCCCAGTCACGAGGGTAAACTGACAAAATTGCAAAAAGAAAATTTTGCATAACTCCAAATTTGGGTCCCATCACTAGACCAACAGTGCCTGGAGCAACTCTGAATCAATCATTTGTAAAATGTGTGATTCTTGTGTGACTAGCACCCTTCTCCCACATTGTCATGTGTTAAAAGCTTTAATTTAATAGAGGTAAACCATTTTTAAATACCTCCAAATGTTGGCATTGCTTTCTTTTATAACCCAGGAACCTCCTACAATGGAAGTGCTCAGATATCTTTTGACCTCTGAGAAGCCCTACTGACACCGGTAGGCTCCTTCCTCTGATCCTTCTGGCCCACATCCTTCACCCCTAACCAGTGTCTTCACCAGCAAGAGCAGGAGGGGAAGGGGCCAAACCAAGGAAGGGGGTAGAGCCAACATGGGGCCCAGGAAGCCTCCAGAGATGGTCCACCCTGGCTGCGGGCCCCTGCCCAGGCCTGCCTGGCCCCGTCCTCTCAGAAGGACACGTGTGTTAGGGCAGCTGTCAACTTGACTGCCATGGTGACAGGTGACATTCACAAATGTGGCCACTTGCACCACTTTCTAAACTCTCATTCACCAAAATCTGTCAAATACAAACGAGTGAAAGAAGCATCATTATAGAGTTAATCTTGAGTCTGCTCTAATTTATATTAAATGAATAATTTGCAATCCTCAGTGATCTAACCATCATTAGAAGGAGGAGAGCTCAGCGCTGTGACACCTCGACCACAATTTGCTGGTGGGGAAGAGGGGGGCGCTAGTTAGTTATCAGCTTCCCTCCAAGCTTCCCTGCTCCATGTCCCCGGCACCCTCGGTGTCACAGGAAGACACTGAAGAAGCAGAATGTCGTTCCTGCTCCCCAGGAGCTCCTGCCCTCACGGGGAAAACAAGAACAAGCCCAAGCCACACTCTTCGAGGGTTAACTAAGTGCCAGGCGCTTCCAGGTAATTCTAGCAATGGGAGGAGGGTAACCTGGGGAGGGTAGGTTGGTCTTGAAGGGAGAGAGCCCCAGGGGCGGCGGGAGACACCATGAGGCCCACGCTGACCTTCCGGCTTGGGCTTGCCCAGGACGCGCAGCACCTCGGCGTTGGTGGGGTTCTGGCCCAGGGCCCGCAGCACGTCCCCACACTGCCCGTAGGTGATCTTCAGCTCTCCAGTCGGGGTCCGGTCAAACAATGAAAAGGCCTCTTTGAACTCTGCAGAGAAAAGACTGGCTGCAGCCCCCGGGGCCAAGCGAAGGCGGTGGCTGGGGGCTGATCGGCCTCTACCCACGCTGTGGTTGATAAAATATTTCAGTATTTCCCTGCAGCCATCATCCCAGCCGCTCCCTGTAACCCATCCCCACCCCATCTTCTGACAACTAAAGAAGCATCCTGGAGCCCCACGACCTGTTCCAGCGCTGGGCCTGGGATCTCTTCCATCGATCACTTGTCACATCATTTGAAGTCTCCCCTGCTCCTGCCCCTCCCACCCACCCATCCTTCCCTTTGCAGGTGAGGTGGCTGACTGTTGAAAGAGGCAGGGAAGTGAAAAGAGCACTGGCTGAGGAGTCAGGATTCCTGGGTTCTCCTCTTGGCTCTGCCAAGCAGCACCGGGCTGGGTCTCACTTTCTTTGCGCACGCGCAGAAAGTAAGGCTCCACCCCGCCCTCCCCTCCCAGTTACTACGAGTGTCAAAGGAGGTGGCAGTGTGTGGAAGCACTTTGCAGTGACAAGACCTGTTCAGAAGTCAGCTAATATCAGTACTGCCTGTCAGGCTGAGAGGGGGCTCCCAGGCTGGACAAGGTGACCTGGTGGAAACAGTCAGCCCGCCTCAGCTCTACCACTGACCTGCAGGTGGCCTCGGCCAAACTCCTAACTCCCATGGGCCCTCTGTTTCTTAGCTCTAAGTAAGGATACAGTGTCCACCTGTGTGGGCTGCTGGGGGGATTACAAAGCACTCCAAGCATGGTGTCTAGCATGTGGTAAGGGAATCAACAAATGGTGGTTATTATTATATTTCCTAGTTCTGGAGCCAGACTCCCAGAAGGTTCCAGGGCAGGTGGCCAAGGGGCAAGGCTGAATGAAGGCACTCCTGGGCCCTTTGCAAAGAACCTTAATTCCTAATCAATTTGGATTCAACCAACTCGTCACTGGGGATAATATGGACTGGGTATGGCATTGAAATTACCTTATGCTGCCGGCGACAAAACGGTTTACTAAGCAGATTAATATAAACCTAAGAAGAATGTGTGAACTACTTAGGAGAAAAGCTGCTTTTAATCCTCTCTAAGCACTTTAGAAACACTTATTTCCTTTGATGCTGCATATGGATTATTTACAAATCATTCCACATATCAAAGCAGGCTCCCCAAGACGTTTACCTGCCACTCTTTATTAGGCTTTGTATGAATTTCAAAGATATAAAGCTGCCTGTCTTTCAAATTACTAAATAATTGAGTTCAAATTCTGTTTCCATTGCTTAGTAGCTGTGTGACCTTGGGCAAGTAAATATTTAACCTCTATGAACCTCTTTTCTTCTATAAATGGCACCTACCTCATAGGGTCCTTAAATTACATTCAAATAAAATACAATAATGTGCGCAAAAAACTTTAACTCTGTGTCTTAACACAGAGTAAATTCTCCAACAATGCTGTTAGTAATCTCTTACTGAGTTTAATCCCAATTTTACCACTTAACTGTGTGATCTTGGCCAAGTCACATAACCTCACTGAACTTTGTCCTCTGTCAAAAGGAATAGCACTGACCTCACAGCTTTGTTAGAACAATTTAATTTTTTTTGAACTTTTAAAGCAATTAGCATGGCTTCTGGCACAAATACATTGTTCAATAAGTATGGCAGTTGAATCTGAACTCAGACCTTTTGATCTGCTAATTCATTCAGAAGAGTGAGGGCAAACTTAATAAAAGTAGGAGTCTCCACTTAAAAGAAGAATGATATTTAATAGAAGGATGGAACAGGGGGGAAATAACAGGAGTAATGACCTATGATTTGAGCACTTACTGTGGGCCAGGCTCTGAGCTGGTAACTTTGCATGAATTATCCCATTCATCTTTACAAAGACTTTATGCTATAGCTATTATCATCCTCATTTATAGGCCACTGCAGATGTGACTTCCAGCCAACTATTAAGGAAACCAAGTGAGGAGGAGGAGGAGGAGGAAGAGGCCTGCTGTACCAGCTAATGTTCCAGACCGCTGGGAAGGCTGGTATGCACATAAAAACCAAACACTGAAGCCTAGGATAGCTACTAGGAGGAAAAACAAGGCCAGTGTGATCTCGAGGTATATGAGAGATGAAGTTCATTGTCCCAGAAGAAACTTCTGAAAGATCTGTAGTAGGGAGCTGCTTGCTAGAGCAGTGAACAATGGTGGTGATCCCTTTCCAGAAGGATATGGAAATACGGGCCAGAGAAGGAAGTCAGGACTTAGAAACTAACTCCTATGAGAAAATAAATAAATAAATAAAAGAAATTGGAGCCATATCTCCTGGAGATCATAAAGCTACGAAGGGATTTGATAACTGTCTTCAAATAGATGGAGGGTATCTAGAAGATGCTGAATAGAGTCACAGAATTTCTGAATTGAAAAGAACCAGATACCCTCACTTTGCAGATAAGAAAATCCAGGTTTAAAGAAGTGACTTGCTCCAAGTCTCATGGCCAATAGTGGCAGATTTAGGGCTAATTTCAAAGTCTCCTGGTTGCAGATAATGTTTTTCCAGCAAAACAGGAGAAAACCATCTTCAGTTTCACCAAAGAGCAAATGAAGAGATAGGAATAAAATTAAAGCAAAAACAATTCCAATCCAACCTAAGGAACAATGCTTCAAAGTCAGAGGGATGAAAGGCTGGAATGAGTTAGGCCCCAGCCCTGAATATCTTCACAGAGAAAAGAGGCAACCAGCTGTCTCAGTTGGCTTTGACCAGGATTCCCATTTGGGAAATGAAAATTCTTTATCATTAGTTGATTTTCTAGTCCTCATGGGTACCACTGTGTTTGCATATACACTGAGTATATATATATATATTTAACTAAAATGCATTAAAATTTATTTTAAGAATTTCACAGTGCTCCAAACTATTGATGGAAAGTGACTGTCCACAGGGTATTGCAAAAACGGAGTTGGACTCGGTTCACTTGTTTCAAAATGCATCTGCCATCTCTCATGCCCTATTGGTGGGTAACTGGCATCACTTTTTTGGAGGGAAACTTGGCAGTAACTATTAAAATGCACATATCCTTTGACTCATTGCTAGGAAGATCCCCTGAGGAAAGCATTATCTCCCCCAACTGGAACAACCTGAAGGTCTATCAATGTGGGCCTGATTGGATTAAAACATGCATCCATGTGTGAGAATCTATATAACTGTTTAAAAGAATGAGGTAGAACTGTTGGTGTTAAATATAAAAAGATATTTAAATATATTATTAAATAATACGTACTATGTTATACATTGTTAAACCCAAATATATATTAAGTAAAAGATGCAGGACAGTATGCACCACATGACTCAATTTGTATAAACTTTACACATACATACTGGTATAACATTATATATTTTTTAATCAAAGGATACATAGACCTATTAACAATGATTGTTTTGGGGAGAGGGGATCAGTATGATCAGGGGATCATACTGAGAGGAAAGCAAGGGGAAAATATTTTTAATTTTCTTTCTTTTTACCATGTTCATGGATTAGTTTAATTTTTAAAATATAGTCTGTGCTTAACATCAAGGGGTTGAATCAGGTGACCTTTCAAGGTCCCTTTCAATTCCTATGATTTTATGTCCAGGAGGCATTTGGTGGGGGAAACAAAGGGATAAGTTGCAATGAAGGTGGATCCCAGCTGCAAAGTAGATATCACTTGATGAAACATTTCATTCTCAAAACACCAGACTCCTACAGAAGAGGGCTGAGGGGCAACAATTAAGTTGGAGGGCGGGAGGTCTCGAGGCTTGTCTTGAAGCTACACTTAATAGTACTTATATTAAGTTGAGAAAACAAATTGTCTTCATCAAAGACGGAGAAGGGCTGATGGAGATCACAGGTGGACTCAGGCACCCTCAAGTCGCCGCTGGTCCTGCCACCATTAGTGGGTGAGCATCTTGGCAGAATTCAGGATGCAGGGAGAGGGAGCTGGTAACCTGAGGAGGGCTTTCCAATAACAAACCAGAAATGAGGGCTTCTAAATATCTTGGATAGGAGATTATAGGGTGGAGGGAAAGTCAGGCAGTCTGGCAGGGTAGTTCAGAACTCAAGTCTGGAATCAGATTGCCTGAGTTAGAATCCTGGCTCCACCACCAACTGTCTGTGTGAGACTGGGCAAGCCACCCAAACTCTCTGTGCCTCAGTTTTATCACCTGTAAAGTGGGGTGGTGATAGTCCCTACCTCACGGGGTTGCGGTGAGAATTAAATAAACTAATCCACGTAAAGTGCTTAAGTAACAACACGTAGTAGGTGAAAGTGAACAGAGAACACACCTATACTTGCTGTTTTGCGTAACTGTTTTCCAGTCACGCCTTTGTGTGCCCTGACTCAGATACAGGTTTGCAATGATGACGATGGTGATGGTGACAGTGATGGTGGTGACAGTGATGGTGGTGATTGTGATGGTGGTGATTATGAGGGTGGTGATGGTGATGATTACTATTATGGTGGCGACAACAGCTCCTCCCCAGGAAGCGCAACAGAGAGAGTGTGGTGGGATAGGTGGGGTCGCTAGTACTCACCTTCGATCTGGTCAGCAGTGAAGTCTATCTGTGGAGAGAAACACAGAGGAATGAGGGCTGGGACTGCTAAGGCCTTCCAAAGGAAGCAGAAGCGGCTTCCGCAGCAATCGGGTCACCTCCAGCAGACACTGATGAGGACGGAAGGAGACTACGGGCTGAGAGTCAAACACAGACCGGCCTCCTGGGCCGCAATTGACAGGCTGTCAAATAATGCAGCCTCCAGAGCTCTCTCAGCACCACTTGTTAAGTGATGGCTCCAAATGAGAGGGAAAGAGAAACACTCTGAATAACTCTAGAACCCACACTGACTCCCTATTATAATTCCTTTGGGTCGAATGTAAATTCCGTCCCAGCGGGGCTGTAAACAGCCTTCGCATCCACCCCTTCAGTCTCTCCCCTTTCTACTTGATGCTGGCTTTCAACCCACCTCCTTCAACAGAGCCTTCCCTCACCCCCTCCATCCCAGCCCCTCCTCCCGCACACATCCCTCTCAGGCGGGCCCTGGATGCTTCCTAACTGTTTTCCTGTCATGCCTTTATGTGTACTGTGATTCCTTGAAGCCAGGGTCCCGGCAGGGCAGGGGATTTGCCAGAAAATGCCTGGCATAGAGTAGGCACTCAAAATATATTTGTTGAGAGGAGTAAATTTTGGGTTTTCCCCCCTAAATTCAAATCTGAGTACAGAAGAAGAAGGTGGAAGGCTCTGAAGATGAATGACAATGAACAAGCATTAGTCATTATTTTAACTTAGGATCTTGAATGTTACTTCATGGTCCTTATCTACCACCACCACCCCCTCAAATCCCCTCTTCGCTGGTGGTGGTAACCAATCCTGGAGCATCTTCTCTGTGTGCCACCATTCCCAGTCCTGATTCTGCTGCTCTGTGCCCATCCAAGGCTGACCTCGTTAATGAGGACCACTGGAGGTGGCTGGAACGAGCTAGGAGAGCAGGAGAGGGGTTACACCGTGTTGGGAAGAGAGCTAGCTGTACCCAGGAATGGGTCAGAAAGTTAAAGAAACCCCCTAAATGGGGTAAAGGATGCTTTGAAGGAACCCTCTGGGGAACGGTGCAGTTTGCCTTACTTTGCGATGATTTGAGCCCCAGGATTAAACGTGTAAGAGAAATTAGTATAACGACATAACATCTGAATATATGGTCATAACCACACACATTGGGCTTAAGTTTACTTTTGCTTTGTTTTTATTTATTTATTTTTTTGCGGTACGCGGGCCTCTCACTGTTGCGGCCTCTCCCGTTGCGGAGCACAGGCTCCGGACGCGCAGGCTCAGCGGCCATGGCTCACGGGCCCAGCCGCTCCGCGGCATGTGGGATCCTCCCGGACCGGGGCACGAACCCGTGTCCCCTGCATCGGCAGGCGGACTCCCAACCACTGCGCCACCAGGGAAGCCACTTTTGCTCTATTTTTGAGCAAAGAATCTTCTAAGCAAAGGAACTGGGTAAAGTATAATAATAGTGATAATAGTCTTCATGAAAAATACCTAATTTTTTTTTCCACTTTAAAGCAATTTCAACAACCCCCAGAACTGGAAAATCCAGACATGGAAAAGAGAATTGCAACCAGATGTGAGAAACTGGGGAAGGTGGGTGGATGGAGGGAAGTGATAGGCCAAAGAGAAGGAACTCGGATGATACCACTAGGCAGCTCTTGTCCGGTCTAGGCTGTCCCACGGGAACAGTGCGTTATCAGAACAAATCAGAAATCCAGGTTTCCTGAAGGGGGAGATTGTCAGCTTTTCTTGCTAGGCTTTGTCCAGAGAGGGAGCGATATATGACCTAGAAAACCTTCAGGTACTTTCAAGGTCTTACCCTGTGCCTCAGTTTCCCCAGAGTGTCCCATCTCTTGGCCAAGCCAGTTCTGCTTAAATTCCGCCCCTTGTAGGGACTACCATAGATAAACCCCAGGGTTCTGGGCACAGTGGCAGGGTCTCCCAGGGCTGTGGGTACTAGGAAGTATCCTGAGAGGGCCAGGGAGGGTCATCCAGTTAGAGCTCTGGGGGCTAGTTTCTCTTCCTCTTTGTCACAGAATCAGGTTCTGAGCTCTAATTTTGATCTGATTCCTCACCACCCCCAGCCCTGCCCTGAGGCTGATATACCCAAGAGCCCACCACTCCCAACCTGCTATTAATAGCCCTTCATACCAGTAGCCACTTGACCTCCTACATTCTGGTGCCAAAGCTTAAAACTGCTTCAGTCTCCAGAGGCCTCTGACCCCCTCCTTCATTGGCTCATCCCCTCCCCGTTCCATTCCTTAGGCAGCTGGGCCAGATAGCTGGGAGGCCTAAAATGACTGAGTCAGCAGGCTGGGTCTACACCAGCTCCAAGGAGAGGAGCCTTTCAGGGTGAGAAGAGCGTGGTGGAGCAGAGAGGGAATAGGGCTGCGGCGGCAGAGGGAGCCTGCCCCAGCTCCTACACCAGGATAGAGGGAGGGTCTCGGCCTGGGCTAGGCTAGGCCACTGCATGCTCCAGATAGGAGCTCAGGCTAAGGGCACAGAAGGAGGGGTCCACTTGGGTGGGGAAGAGGAGAGAGAAGCAGGCTCTTCTCATCTTATCTAGGGCCTCCCAGCCCTCACCACCCACCCAGTGCAAGAGTCTTTGCATGTGAAGCCTTTCCCAGACCCCAGCACCCAGAGAGCAGTGCTCCCTCACTCTTTCTATCACCTACTCTGAGTTACACTGGAAGTTATCATGCTGTGTCTGTTCTCCATAAGATATCACACAGTCTTTTTTACTTCACTATGGTGGTCCCCACAGCGCCTTAAAGAAAGTTTAGACGGTTGGTTGGTTGTACCGCCCTGCCATTCCTAACTTTGCTGGGCAAATTTGGGATGACAGAGCAGGGCTTCCTCAGACAGAGCAGAAACGTGTTCTTGAGGGGAAAAGCCTGCAATCCAAAATAGCTGTCACCAGCCCCAACACCTGCTCCACGCCCCATGGGACTGTGAGCGGGGGATGGATGCCGCAGCCCTCACCCCGGTCCAGCCCCCGTGAAGTAGATCTCTGAGCTCCAGGGCAAAGAGGGTTCTGAATGTCATCCCCACCCCCATCCCAGTGGCTGAGGCTCACTTACCTTTACACTCTTGGGATCAAAGGCAGGTTCCTTGGGAGGCTCGGGAGGTGGGGCCGAGGCCGGGGCTGGGGCTGAGGCTGCCTTGGGCGCTTCCTTCTTAGGCTCAGGCTTCTTGGGAGGCATGTTGTCTCGTTGGGCTCTTCCACAGAGGTGGGACCCAGGAAGGAATCGAGAGATGCGGCGCCCAGGAGATGAGACGGGAGACTGGGCTGCCTCCTGCCCTTTTTATCCTGGGCAGGAGCCCCCACGGAGGGGCTGGGTGATCGCAAGAGCAACTGCTGCTGACTATAAAAGGAAGAAACACCAGCAGGGTACAGCTGACAACTGTGCATTGTCACCAGGTTTGGGGCTACCAGCCCCCTCCCCCTCTCCCCCCCCCACACCTCACACTCCTCACGACCTCCACCTGTGGGTCAGGCTGACCCCTTCCTGCCAATCGGTGGACACCCAGAGGGGCCAGGGAAACAGACCCTCTCAAAAATGCCAGAGTCCAGCCAGAGAGATGAGCTGACTTGAGCAGTTGATAACCCTGACACAAAGCCCAGGGGAGGGCGAGGCTTTTTTTAGTCCCTTCTGAACAGAGGCAGCCCACTGCACATTCCTTTTAAGCCAAGATCCTTTAAGCTGAGAGCCACTCTGGGGCCTCAGCTCTGCCCTGAGGTTCAACTCTCTGGCCTGGCGCCCTGAAGCAACAGCTGGTCCGGCCAACTCACACTGTCCCACACCCTCCCAATCCACCGGGTAAAACCCTGAATCTCCCAGAGCAGGCTCCCCAGGAACTCCACAGACCTCAAATCCCTGGGTCCACCCCACAACTTCAATCATTCATTCAACAGATATTGAGCACATAACTTGTGCCGTGGAGCCAGGGTGAGAAGCAGAGAGGTTGGCTGAAAGTCGATGAGACTGAAGGTAAGGAAACTTGGGTCTCGTTTTTATATACTGTACCTCTAACTCATTCTGTGCCCCCTGTGTGTGTGTGTGTGTGTGTGTGTGTGTGTGTGTGTGTGTGTAGTACTTACTGTGTATCGGGCACTGGTAGTTGAGTGCCATTCATACAAAATCTCCTTAAATCTTCACTGCAGTCCTATAAGGAAGATATTATTACTCCCATTTTACACATGAGGAGATTGAGACTAAAACTGGTCAAGTAACAAGGCCACTCAGCTAATTAGCTATAAACTGGGATTAGAACCCAGGTATGTCTGATTCTAAAGTTTGTGCCTGAATCATTGATATTATAATCCTGTGGGGGGGGGACATATATATTTGTGGGTTCATCAGATAGGTCAGGATGAATACCACTAAAATGTTAACAGGAGACACCCCTAAGGACTCAAAGGGTAAGGACAGGAGGATGACAGCAATTTGCAGTTTTTACTTTTTTCACTTCCTGTATTAACGGAAGTCTTTACAACGAGCATGTACTGTTTTTATTTAAAAAAAAAAAAAGCTGAAAGTCAAAAAAAAATGTTCAGAAAAACAACAAAAAGCTTATCCACTGCACAGAATTGCTTTGAACTGAATTGTATGGCTCTACATTTCAGAGGACGAAGAGAAATAAAGCTGAGAGAAGCAGAAAAGTCACTTTGCCTTTCTAGGTTCAGTTTCCTCTCCCATAAAACAAGATTGCTAGGGACTTCCCTGGCTGTCCAGTGGTTAAGACTTCACCTTCCAATGCAGGGAGTGCAGGGTTCCATCCCTGGTGGGCGAACTAAGATCCCACATGCCTCGCAGCCAAAAAAACAAAACATAAAACAGAAGCAATATTGTAACAAAGTCAATAAAGACTTAAAAATATACATTAAAAACAAACAAACAAAGAAAACAAGATTGCTAGACCACATAACGCCTGGTGCCCTGGAGCCCACATCTGCCCATTCTCTGGGTTCCCTAAGCACAGGCTCCAGGTCCCACATCTTGCAGAGCCAAAAGGGCCCTTAGAGATCATCTCATCCCGTCTGGTGTGACAGGTGAGGAATCTAAGGCCCAGGAGACTTCGGAGCTACGGCGACATTCAGTTCTTCACAGGCGGAGCTGCGCCAGCTAAGCCCGGCTGCTCGTGTGCGGTGCTCCTACACCACGCTGCCCCTCCTGTACCCTGCACGTGCCCTCACCGCCAGTGAGCAGAGAAGCCTTCAAAGAAAACTGAGGCAGGAAAGGGGGGCAGGTCTTGCCCAAGGGGACCCTAGAGCAAGACCAGGAAGCAAACCCTAGGCCAGTCCCGGTCCTGGGCTGGTCCGGCAGCTCCTTCGCTCTTTTCCCCTCCCCGCTTCCCCTCTCCAGCCTTCTCTTCCTTCCGACTCCTCGACTCCTCGTTCCGCGCTCCGCGTGCCTCTGCTTGCACCCTTCAGTATTCCCCGGCTGTTCTCTCCCTGACTACCTCCTTCCCCAAGGGGCTTGGGAGCTCAGTTTGTTGGTGATGAGGAAGGAGGAAAGAGGAAGCCCAGCCTCTCCTCTTTCTCTACCCCCACCCGCATCCCCTTCCTGGACTAGGTGCAGAGATACCCACACTGTAGAGAGCTGCAGGCCAGAAGCTGCAAGAGCCAGACACTACTAGTCCTGAATGTCAAGCCGCTTCCGCTCTCTGGGCCCCAGCTTCCTCATCTCTAAAGTGAGAGATAGGAGCTTTCAATGTGTTCAACAGACACTTAAGGCTTCCTTAGCTTGCTTCTGGCTGTCAGGGACACAGAGGGGCCAGGTCTTGGGGCTCTCCCATCCCCTGCCACTTCAAACAGCACCACTCCTAGGTGTTTTATATACTGGAGGTCTCATGGTCATTTCGTAGGAAATAGTTCCATGATTTAAAAGTTCAAAAACAACCAGTGAATGAGATGTTGAATAGAAAAACAAGGTATTCTAAGCATTCTATAAGGAAATATGATCCCCAAAAGACAGGCAGCTGTAACTCTGTCTTTTCCTTTCTTTTCTTTCTTTCTTCTTTCTCCTCTTTTTTTTTTTTTTTTTTTTTAATTCTAAAGCGAAACAAAATATCCAGACTGCTGGGGAGCAGAGCTCTGAGGTTAGAAAACTGGGAGCGCAGAATGGGGCTGGAGGATCTGAAAACGTGGAAAGAGTGTGGACTTCAGAGGCAGACAAGCCTCTGAATCCTGGTTTTGCCATGTCTAAATCTTGGGCGCAGGACCCTCAGGACCTTTAACAGCACACATGTCCTTCTCAAGTTGTTGTGAGATTTGTATGAAGTAATGTGAGTTAGACACAACAGACCATCTCTGGCATATAGGAAACAATCATAGCTGTCAATTTCACTTTGTTTTCTGAGCCAGAGGAAGCTAGAGGTGTGCTCTGGTGTCTCAGGTTTCCTGGAAGGAACACCAGGAGAGGGGCCCACAGGAGGGAGGGACGAGGAAGCTGGCCGTGGCTAACTTGATTGTAAGGTGTGGGTTTAGGAAGGAGAAAGAGGTGGAAGGGAATGGGGGAGGGGATGGGCAGCAGCTGGGTACCCACAGTGTGAAATATTTGTGGCTCAGAAAGCATGTAACTGGTCCCTGGGGCCCGGCAGCCTGCCTGTCAGCGACACTCAGACGAGGAACCTGGCTGCCTGAAACCTCAGTGGGGGAGGAGATGCTCCTCAAATCAGTTTCTGATTCTCTTTAAGCAGCCCCAGCTAAAAAAGTGGCTGGCACTTCAGAAGCTACTAGAGGGGAGCTGTGGTTTCCCAGAAGGAGCTGTGTCGAGAATCAAGATACCTGACACTAGCCTTGTTATACTAAAACCCATGATGCCCACAGTTCATGAGACCCCCAAGAACTGGAGTCAGAGTTTTCACTTTCTTCTGGTCCTCATTCTGCTTCACGGCCACTGACTTTCACCTTGCAATTTCATCCACCTAGAGTACCCTTCACAGGACCTAGGGTAGGGTTGACCAATCAGAGCAAAGGAAAGGAAGAGAGACAGAAGGAAGAGGCAGAAGTGTAAAGAGGGAAGCATAGTAGCAGGTACTGGTAGCCTAACTACTGCCTCTGGGGAGGCATCGAGTGGTTCCCAGCCAGAGCTGCTCCAGCCACTTGAATGCTGCCACTGGAAAAACCTCACACTCAGTAGATGGAAAACGCAGAACAGAATTTCACACCAGTCAGCTTACGCCCATGTCAAATCTGGACAAACGCACAGAAGAGAGCTGACATCAGCCCTCCTTCGGGCTGGGCTTCCACACACTCACGCATCCTCCTCCCTTCACCTCTAACCATGTAGGGCCTGTGTCCTGCCTGCCTGGGATCAAATGATGCTGACAGCGTGCCTGGCTGTTAATGCTTTGTTCTTGTCACCTCCCCCCACCTCTTCCAGACAGTGTCTCATAAGCTAGACATCATGGGGCAAAGCCCTGGCCAACACTACATTTATATGTCTCTGTAGAGGACACTGGGTAAATCGGGCTCTGCCGCAAGGCAGAGGTTAAGAGGGCCCACTCAGGAGTTAAGAGTTCTGGGTTAGAGTCCTGATTGATTTGTCCGTTAGGCAAGCTAGTTAAACTTCTTTCTGTCTCAGTTTTCCCATCTGTAAAATGGGGCTGCTAATATAACCTCACAGGGTGATTGTAAGGATTAAATGAGTTAATACAGACGCTACACTTAGAGTAGTGTCTAGCACAAAGCAAGTACTCAAAATCCTTAAGCTTGACTGAACCAGTGTGACTGCTGCTCCCTCTCCCAAGGGCAACTACGAAAGAATTATAAACAGAAAACACCAAGAAATGAAGAAAACTGTGAGATATCCCTTGGGTGAAGGGGGGCCCTGTTTTGAACTGGTGTGGTGTGTGGTAAAGGGGTGGCTTTGGTTTACGGCAGGAGGTGGCCAGGCATGGCTGTGGAATGATAAAAAAAGAAGAAGATCTCTGGGGTTCTCATCTGTCTTTTCCTCCACCAGTGTCTTAGAACAAACAGTGATGTGCCATCACCTTCATGACTCAAACCGCTGATCCAGGTGCTGGTAAGAGTAATCAGGGCACTGAAGACGCACTGTGCTTGTGAGGATCCAATAAATAATAGGAGGGGAAACTGAACTTCGGACAGTTGTTTCCCCTCCTCGCCCCCTAAACTCTCATAGCAGGAGAACTGCAATCTAAGAAGTACTTCCCCTAAGGTTGCTTCTCCCTTGGGAGGTGGGGGCAAAAGGTGAAGCCTTGACATGAGGAGTTATTTAGTGAGGTTGGGTCTGACTGACTTGGGAGTTTTGGTGCTTGAGGTTCTCAGTCTTACGGCTCATTAACCCCTGACCCTCACCCCCTGAGCTAAATGGCACTGGTACACATTGTTGAACAGAGCAACCTATGTGCCCATGGGCCAAATAACAAGACAGGTGAGGAACACAACTAATTCAGATGGATACAACCCACTTGATTACAGATTGTACCTTAAGTAGAAAGATGACAACAGATAGACCAAGATTTTAAAAGTAGCTTAATAAACATGCTTAAAGAAATGAACATATTACTAATACGACACCAGAACAAGGAAACATAAAGAAGAACCAAACAGAAACATCACATATAGAAAATTATAATAGTTGAAATAAGAGGGACTTCTCTGGTGGCGCAGTGGTTGAGGGTCTGCCTGCCAAACATGGGTTCGATCCCTGGTCCGGGAAGATCCCACATGCCACGGAGCAACTAAGCCCGAGTGCCACAACTGCTGAGCCTGCACTCTGGAGCCCACGAGCCACAACTACTGAGCCCGTGTGCCACAACTACTGAAGCCCACGCACTTAGAGCCTGTGCTCCGCAGCAAGAGAAGCCACCCCAATGAGAAGCCTGTGCACTGCAACGAAGAGTAGTCCGCACTCGCCACAACTAGAGAAAGCCCGTGCACAGCAACGAAGACCCAATGCAGCCAAAAATAAATAAATAAATTTAAAAAAGAAATAGTTGAAATAAGAAAAACAACTTTAGTAAAACAAGCAATATGTTAGGTATAAAAATAACTAAAATAGAGCACACAATAGATATGAAAAGTAGCAAACTGGACACAGCTGGGAAACATATTAGGGAATTGAAAGACAAAAGAGAGAATGTCTCCCAGAAGGAAAAAAGAAAGACGTAGAAAAGCTGGGACTTCCCTGGTGGTCCAGTGGTAAAGAATTTGCCTTCCAATGCAGGGGACATGTGTTCGATCCCCGGTCGGGGAACTAAGATCCCACATGCCACGGGGCAACTAATACCGTGTGCCACAACTACTGAGCTCGTGCTCCTCAACAAGAGAGCCCACGTGCTGCAAACGAGAGAGCCCGTGCACTCTGGAGCCCTCACGCCACAACTAGAGAGAGAAAAAAACCCCACATGGCACAACTAGAGAGAAGCCCGTGTGCCACAGTGAAGAGCCCGCACCACAACGAAAGATCCTGCACGCCTCAACAAAGACCCCTCATGCTGCAACTAAGACCTGATGCAACCAAAAAATAATAATTATAAAGAAAAAATAGAAAAGCTGGGCTTCCCTGGTGGCGCAGTGGTTAAGAGTCCACCTGCCGATGCAGGGGACGCGGGTTTGTGCCCCGATCCGGGAAGATCCCACACGCCACGGAGCGGCTTTGCCCGTGAGCCATGGCCGCTGAGCCTGCGCGTCCGGAGCCTGTGCTCCGCAACGGGAGAGGCCACAACAGTGAGAGGCCCGCGTACCGCAAAAAAAAAAAAAAAAAAAATAGAAAAGCTAAGAAATATGCGGGATAGAAGGAGTACTGCTTTATGATTTAGAAGGGCAATCAAGCTAAGTATAC